GTGACACGCAGGTGACACGCAGACAGCCAATCCTTAAGTGACCTTTTCAAGGCGTAAGCGACCTTTTCAGGGTCCTAAGTGAGCTTGTTTCATCCCACCTCGAAACCCCAGTGACATGCAAGTGACACACAGTGACACGCAGAAATCATGTGATCAGCCAGGCAAAGAGGTCACTTAAGGATTCATGAAACCAGGCCACTTATGCATGGTTGATCTTGTAAGTGACCGTTTGGCACTTTGGGTCTAAGTGGCTTCCGTTAGAGGCTAGAAGAAACTGCCTGGTATGTATAGTATATATTATGTATACATATTATTGATATATTGTCTATATAATATCATATAACTAACACATAGCAAACATGTAACTTATGACTTACAACCTATAACAGCCAAACCGGGGGCTCTTAGGCTGACACGATCAGCTATTCCATCATCCTCGGTGCAATGGCGGCTGCAGCCTCTGAGACGCTGCTTTTGGGCATTCTGCAAGAGATGACATCGAGAAGGAGTGACAACTCCAGGTTTTTGGAAGGGAATCTCCATCGATGACTTTAAGGGAAATCGAAACCGGAAACTTTATGGTCTTTACCACCATTGTTAGGGGGTCCCGGTTTCCGTTTAAGATGTTCCCATCCAATTTTGGGAGAATCTTAGGTTTGGGTCCAGGTTTGATCATTTTTTCCATTGAGCAGGCAAGTTTGGTGTTAAAAACAATATTTTTGGGACAAACCTATTGATCCTATTGGATCAAGTTCCAAGAATCCTCATATGAATCCACTTGATCGGCGTCAATGTTCAGATATTTTTGGAAGGTTTGCCAACAATAATTCTGCAAGATGCTGTTATTTAAGCTACATCTATCGACCGTTCTTGACTCAAGGGGCCTCCTTGCGTCAAACTTCTAGCGCCTTTGGCAGCTCAAGTCTTTGGTGCACTTTGGCAATGCAGTATGGCCAGAATAGCTTAAAAGAGCTTCTGAAGCATTCAATGCACATCCTTGTCGATAGTTGTTCCAGCCAGCTTGGGTGTTTTTCCAGGCGCCCAGCTTTCCAGTGCCACTGTCAGGATTGAACTTTCGAAGACATCTCTAAGTGCCATCATGTCTCGCTATGAGCAGCACATTCCTCGCCGTCCCACGGCGCATGAGGGTGACCATGGTATGCCATGATATGCCATGGCCATGGCTTAAGTGGTTGGCCATGGGGATAGGGATGGGGATATTTGGATGATCGGATGATCATGATGATCTTAGACGTGGATACTGAACTTGACGAGATAAAGACGCTTTGCTTCAAAGGCCTTAAAATGAGACATAGACTAGACATTGATGACATAGCCATGTTGTAGGCATTTGGATGTGATGAAGGGTCAAAGCAAGATCTGTGATGATCCACGTCATGGCATGGCACATCTAACTGGTGTTTATGGAACCACAACCAATAGTACATTCAATATTCAATAGTACTGCTTTTGCGTGACAGCACCTTATCCTTAAACACATTTCATGACTTTGAGTTGCGCTCATCTTTTTTTTTAATGGCTGCTTTAAATCCTGATCAAAGCCCACTAAAACACCATGACTCACCCAGTCCCATGATGGTTTTCGCCTCGGTAAAGCCCATTGAAACACAAATATGAATTCCCACACTATGAATCACCCTTCATATGAACAAATCACCAATAATGGTTTGTTAAAACACCATTACTATCCATTACTAGGGTCTTGGCTTAAGTCGCATCTTCTTGTTGAAGTCGCATCTTGATTGGCGCCCGCCACACAAAACAAAGTTTTACTCAAATCTTGTGATTTGATATTTGTACTCAATCATACATGATTGCCGTTTTACCAGCGCGCCAGCTCGCTTTTTCCATGGTCGACCTATAGTTCCATAGTTGACTTTTTTTCCTCGTGTAAGTTTTTTTGCCCCAGATAGCGAAGCTATTGGGGTTATTACTTCAAGTATAGGCAGAGTTGCATGTTTGCGTTTTGGAGCTGGGTTCCTGGTGCCCTTGCAGGGTGCCGCTGCAAGGTGCTGCTGTCAGAGTGCTGTGTGCATTTTGGAGCTGGGTTGCTGGTGCAGCTGCAGGGGTGCCGCTGCAGGGTGCCGCTGCAAGGTGCTGCTGTCAGAGTGCTGTTTGCGCTTTGGAGCCTGGTCGCTGGTGCGCTGCAGGGTGCTGCTGCAGAGGCTGTCCAGGGCGCAGGGCTTCTTTTCATTTTCCCTCCTCATTTTCAGGCCCCAAAGGGCCTTGGTGGGTTGGTATGCCTTTAAGCCTCGTTTGTACCTTGTTTAGGCCTCGTTTTGGCATCGTTCTGGCTGCTTTTCTTTTTGCTTATGCTACGGTTGCGGTGGTGCTGCGAGCAGCATAAGCAGCACGAGCAGCAAAAGCAGCACAAGCAGCACAAGCAGCAGAAAGAGCAACGCACAAGCAGTAGCACCAGCAGCGAACCTGCTCGTGCTGCTCGCGCTGCTTGTGCTGCTTGTGCTGCTTGTGCTGCTTGTGCTGCTTGTGCTGCTTGTGCTGCTTGTGCTGCTGCTGGTGCAGCTTGTGCTGCTGCTGGTGCAGCTTGTGCTGCTGCTGGCGCAGCTTGTGCAGCTTGTGCGGCTTGTGCTGCTTGTGCTGCTTGTGCTGCTTGTGCTGTTGCTGGTGCAGCTTGTGCTGCTTCTGCTCCTTCTGCTGCTGGTGCTTCGGGTGCTGCTGGTGCTGCTTGTGCTGCTGCTGCTGCTGCTGCTGCTGGTGCTGGTGCTGCTTGTGATGCTTCTGCTGCTTCTGCTGCTCGTGCTTCTTCTGCTGCTTCTGCTGCTTGTGCTGCTGCTGCTGCTGCTGCTGCTCCTGCTGCTTTCGCTGCTTCTGGCTCTGACCGCCACCGCGTCGCAACCCTAAGACCCTAAGGCAAAAGACTGCGCGCGCGCATTGTTTTGTTGATTTTCGCAGGTGATTTCAAAGGAAAAAGTGCATGTTGACTGCGCGCGCGCAATGTTTCCTTGATTCCAGCCACTTTCTATGATTTGCGGAATTCATTGGCGCCCGCAATGAATCATTGCAAAAAACAATGCTCGTGATGTGACTTCAGCGGCGTGATGTGCCTAGTGTTTTTCACAGCGCGTGCCACACAAGATGTGCCTTCAGCGGCATGATGTGAGTTCAGTCGAAAACTTGTAGCTGTGAATTTGGTTGGTTAAAGCCCATTGTAACACAATTAATTAGTATCCATTGGTTAATATTAACTGAAATTCATACCAGTAGTACCGCACAAGGCGGTGGCGGAAGTTTCAAAAATAGGAAACCTATAGGAGAAGTTGGTTGTTGTGAATCAAGGATGGCAGCGCGAAGCCGCTGATGGACCGAAAGGTGGTTGAGGTCTCCTCTCTTTCTCTCTCTTTCTCTGACTATCTACCTACCTATCTATCTATCTTCTATGTATCTATCTATCTCTCGATCTCTCTCTCTCTCTCTCTCTCTCTCTCTCTCTCTCGCTCTTTCATCTAATTACCTATCTATCTATCTACCTATCTATCTATCTGCCTCTTCCCTGCTCTGCTTTTCATCTCTCCATATTGTCGGAAGTTTGACTTCTAAACTTCCTTCGATTAGTTATCGAAGGAAGTTTAGAAGTCAAACTTCCCACAATATGGACAGATGGAAAAGCAGCGGTGGGAAGAATCAGAGAGGAGAAGAGCAGAAGAGACAAGATCAGAGAAGAGAAAGAGTGAGAAGAAAGAAGATGCAGGTGCGCGAAAAGGTAGCAAAATCGCGAAACACAGTGTTTTTCCAATGATTTGTGGCTCCGGAGGGTCGAAAAGTAGGCTAGCTAAAGCGCCGGGTGCGGGAGCCATCTGGCCAGATGAGAGATGAAAAATTGCACGCCGTTGTGACGCGAAGCACATTTCCAAGTCAAAATGTACAAAACACCTCAGCTTCGGAGCACTTTTGGAAAGTTGTGATGTCGAAAAAGTGCACGCCGTTGTGGTGCGAAGTGCGTTTCCAAGTCAAAAAGTACACAACACACCAGGGTCAGAGCACTTTTGGAAGTTGTGATGTCGAAAAAGTGCACGTCGTTGTGGCGCGAAGCACATTTCAAAGTCAAAAGTGTTAAAAACTGACGGTCTCGGAGCACTTTTGGAAGTTGAGATATCGAAAAAGTGCACGTCATTGTGGCGCGAAGCACATTTCGAAGTCAACATGTAAAAAGCACCACATGTTCGGACCACTTTTGGACCTTCAGATGTCTTTTCGTGTGGCAGGCGCAAGGGATTGTGCACCTTGTCAAAAAACGTGAGGGTTTTGTCGCAGTTTCAACTACAACCACCACTGCACTACACTACACTCCACTACAACTACAACTACACTACATAACACTACGTACATTAAATTACACTACACGAATTACAGGACACTACGCTACACTACACTACACTAATTACATTACATTACACTACGTTACACCACACTACACTACCACACTACACTACACTACGCTACGCTATGCCACGCTACACTAAATCCAACTACAACTACAACTACCACTACGCTACACTAGACTCCACTTCACTACACTCCACTTCACTACACTACACTACACTCAATTACACTACACTGCACTACACACACTACACACTACACTACACTACACTACACTACGCTACGCTACACCACACCACGCCACGCCACACCTCGCTACACTACACTACACTACAGTCCACTACACTACACTACGCTACATTACACTACACTACACTAACTACAGCTACAGCTGCAGCTGCAGCTGCAGCTACAACTACAGCACCACATCACACTACACCACACCACACCACAGCACAGCACAGCACAGCACACCACACCACACCACACCACACCATACTACACCACACTACACTACACTACAGCCACAGCTACAGCTACAAGTACGATACTTTACACTTTTCTTTACTAGACTACACTACACTACCCTACATTACTTTACACTACACCCACTACACCACTACAAATGCAACTGCAATTACACTACACTAGTTACACTGAACCACAACTACAACTCCGCTACACTACAACTACAGCAGTTGTGGGTGAGGTGACCGACCAGGTGACCACTGCAACTCCAAAAAAACACAACTCCAACCACCTTTCAGTCCATCAGTGGATTCGCTCTGCCATCCGTGATTCACAACAACCAAGCTCTCCTATAGGTTTCCTATTCTGAAACTTCCGCCACCGCCTTGTCAAGTACTACTGGTACATTATTATCGAAGGAAGTTTAGAAGTCAAACTTCCGACCATCTGGACGGATGGAAAGGCAGAGGTGGGAAGAGTCAGAGAAGAGAAGAGAAGAACAATGAATATCAGAGAAGAGAAAGAGGTCTTTGCTTGCTGCCGGCCGGCCATGTCATTTGTGACTAGACTGCCCTCAGCTGTGCTGCTGGAGATCCTCTTTCCCTTTCTACCCGTGGGTGCGGCTGTACTACTCTTGCAAACGGCGCACTTTCAGGACCTTCCTCGAGCTCGATTTCTTGCCTATGTCCAGACCATGAAAGAACACATCTGCTACCCGTTTGCAGCCATGTTTCGGTCTGGCATCTCCGTGCCTCCCCTCAGCTTTCGACATCAACCACGTGTTTTTTTGATGCATGGCCGGAGCCCTCCGGCTTGGAATGGTTTGATGCTGACGGCAACGCGGCAGCACCTCGCCCGCAAGACTTGCCAGAGGAACGTTTGTGGCGCGCCGCGGCGCGACTTCTTGCGCCACAGCGGCCGGGAGCATTTGAACGATTTCTGCGGCAGGACTGCGGAGTAACAGACACATGTTGCGGAAATTTGTCGACAGTTCCTGCCACTGTTTGACTGTTTGCTGCTGTTTGTTTTTGTTTGCCAGGACTCTCAAACTTGTGTGTACGTGTGTGCTCACAAACTTCTTGGTCATGCTGTTTTGGTTGCTTTGCTTTGCTCCACTGCTGCTGCCACGGGCTCGCCGAGCGACTCCTGGGCAACTTTCCGCGACTTGCTCTCCATTCAGCAGCGGATCATGCCCCAGCATATTCCCGCGAGCGATGCCGCACGTCCTGCGAATGGCGACCGCGTGCTGCTGCTGCAGCAGCGTTGGTTGGATCTCATTCTGGAAATCACCAAGATTGTGGAGGTTCGTGGACGACCTGTGCGGCCAGGTGCTGCGTGGCTCGCCTGTGGCGCTCACGTACATGGTCTGGTCACCTTCGGCATATCCCAGAAGGTCACAAGCCTGCAGGACTTTCAGAACCAAGAGTCGCAACATTGTGTCCCTGCAACGTGACACGTGGCTGTGGCCGATTACGTCGGTGCGATGTCTGCCAAGTCCTTCGAGATGCCAGGCCGGGTCCTACTGACTGGGACACTTTCACGGCCCCTGTGCCTGCGTCGGTGAAGCGGAGGGTCCAATCCGTTGTGGCGCGAAACGCATTTCGAAGTCAAAATGTACAAAACACACCAGGGTCGGAGCACTTTTGGAAGTTGTGATGTCGAAAAAAGTGCACGCCGTTGTGGTGCGAAGTGCATTTCCAAGTCAAAAAGCACACAGCACACCAGGGTCAGGGCACTTTTGGAAGTCGTGATGTCGAAAAAGTGCACGTCGTTGTGGTGCGAAGCATATTTCCAAGTCAACATGTACAAAACACACCGGGGTCGGAGCACTTTTTTTTTGAAGTTGAGATGTCAAAAAAGTGCACGTCTTCGTGGCGCGAAGCACGTTTTCAAGTCAACATGTTAAAAACACCACATGTTCGGACCGGTTTTGGACGTTCAGATGCCGTTTCATGTGGCAGGCGCAAGCGTTTGTGCACCTTGTCCAATTTGAGCAAAACATGAGGGTTTTGTCGCAGTGTCAACTACAACCACCAATACACTACCTTACACCGCACTACACCACACTACACTACACTACCCTACGCCACAACTACAACTACAACCACAACTGCACTACACTACACTACACTACATTAATTACATTACACTATATTACATCACACTCCACTAGACTACACCCCACTAGACTACACTACACTAGACTACACTCAGTCACACTACACGACACGACACTAGACCACACTACATTACACTAACTACAACTGCAACTACAACTGCAACTACAGCTACAACTACAAGTACAGGTGCACTACATTACATTACATTACACTACACTCACTGCACTAATTATACTACACTACGCTACACTACACTACACTCCACTTCACTACACTACACTCAATTACACTACACACACCACAACTACAACTACAACTACAACTACGCTACATTACACTACACTACACTCCACTACACTACATTCAAGTACACTACGCTACACTACGGTACGCTACGCTACACTACACTCAGCAACACAACACTACGCTACACTACACTACACTAACTGCAAGCACAACTACACTAACACTACACTACACGACACGACACGACACTACACTCAACTACACTACACTACATTACACTACACTCAATTACACTACACTCAATTACACTACACTCAATTACACTACATTCAATTACACTACACTCAACTACATTACACTACATTACACTACTCTGAATTACACTACACTGAATTACACTACACTGAGTTACACTACACTGAATTACACTACACTCAATTACACTACACTGAATTACACTACACTGAATTACACTACACTGAATTACACTACACTGAATTACACTACACTGAATTACACTACACTCAATTACACTACACTACACTACACTACACCCACACCTACACCTACACCTACACCGACACCGACACCGACACCTACACCTACACCTACACCTACCCTACCCTACACTACACTACACTACGCTACGCCACACCACAACACACCACACCACACTACACCACACTACACTGCACTAACTACAGCTACAGCTTCAACTACAACTACGCTACCTTATGCTACACTAGACTACATTACATTACACTACACTCAGTACACCACCACACATGCAACTGCAATTACACTACACTAGTTACACTACACAACTACAACTCCACTACACTACAACTACAACTACAGCTGCACTACACCACACTACATCCAGAAGTTGTGAGTGAGATGACCGACCAGGTGACCACTGCAACCATTGTAGCCACTCCAAAAAGCACAACTCCAACCACCCTGCAGTCCATCAGTGGATTCGCTCTGCCATCCGTGATTCACAACAACCAACCTCCTATGGGTTTCCTATTTTTGAAACTTCCGTAATATTCACCATCAGTGGTTGCAATATTCACCATAAGTCAATATCCAAATATTCAAATAATTACCCACTTAAAATAGTTTATTTTCATTAGTCAACATTCACCATTAGTCAATATTCACCATTCGTCAATATTCACGGTTCGTCAATATTCACCATTATATAAGTGCAATATTCACCATCAATCAAAATCTGCCATTAATCCACCAACAAATCACCAACAATGGTGTGTTAAAACTCTATTGATTATACACACATTATACATTATTCAGCACTAAATCACCTATCGGAGCCTCACCGGTGCCAGGTCTTCGGCAGCTTCCCTTCGCGCCCTTCGTGGCCTTGGCACCAAAGACCTGGCACAGCGCCGTGGCGCTGCACGATGCATTCACCGCAACGGAACTCACCGAAGGCGGGGTGGCCGTGGGCTATATGACGCCATGAATGCTATACCCAATATGGTTCATAGTGGCGGTTAATAATGGTTAGTTCATAATGAGAGATGAAAAAAAATACAGATGAATGGGGTTCTTATTGGGCTTCTATGGGATTTCTATGGGATGTTCATGGTTTAGTGTGCATGTAATCGGTAATAATGTGTATATAACCAACAAATAATGTATAATAACGGATAATATATTCAACAGTAGTGGATATGATGGAACCAAACAATAACAAATCCAGGTACCCTAGGGTAAACATACAAACAAATGTGGAAAACCCATGAGGTTTCCCGTGCGGAGAATTCTCTGCCTTCATGGTGGAGAAAATCCACATCGAACTGTCAACGTCTACCCCAGGGTAATCCCCAAAGAGAGAGAGAGAGAGAGCTGTTAGTAAAATCATAGAAAAAACTATCATAAATCGTGATAAGCAATAAATTACAGTTCTATCTTTTTGAGAGTTGCCAGACAGATCAATCCTACTGTACCTATAATAACAATTAAATTATCGAAGGAAGTTTAGAAGCCAAACTTCCGACAATATGGACAGATGAAAAGCAGAGATGGGCAGAGTCAGAGAAGAGAAGAGAAGAAGAAAGAAGATCAAAAAGAGAAAGTCTGAGAAGAAAGAAGATACAGGTGCGCGAAAAGGCAGGAAAGTCGCGAAACACTGTGTTTTTCCAATGATTTGTGGCTCCGGAGGGTCGAAAAGTAGGCTCGCTAAAGCGGCGGGTGCGGAGCCATCTGGCCAGATGAGAGATGAAAAATTGCACGCCGTTGTGACGCGAAGCACATTTCCCAAGTCAAATTGTACAAAGCACCTCAGCTTAAGGAGCACCTTTAGGAGCTGCGATGTCGAAAAAGTGCACGCCGTTGTGGCGGGAAGCACATGTCCAAGTCAAAATGTACAAAACACTTCAGCTTAAGGAGCACTTTTAGAAGTCGCGATGTCGAAAAAGTGCACGCTGTTGTGGCGCGAATCACATTTCGATGTCAAAATGTACAAAGCACACCAGGGTCGGGCCACTTTTGGAAGTTGCGATGTCGAAAAAATGCACGCTGTTGTGGCGCGAAGCACATTTCGAAGTCAAAATGTACAAAGCACACCAGGTTCCACTTTTGGAAGTTGCGATGTCGAAAAAGTGCACACCATTGTGGCGCGAAGCACATTTCGAAGTCAAAATGTTAAAAGCACCAGGGGTTGGGTCCACTTTTGACGTTCAGATGTCGTTTCGCGTGGCAGGCGCAAGGGATTGTGGACCTTGTCTAAGGTGAGCAAAACGTGATGGTCTTGTGACATTTTCAACTACAACCATCACTACACCACGCTACACTGCACTACACTACACTCAACTACACTACATTACACTACACTACACTCCACGACACTCCACGACACTCCACTACACCACGCTCAATTACACTACACTACACTACACTAATTGCATTACACTACACCACACTACACTACACTACGCTACGCTACACTACATTACACTACGCTACGCTACGCTACGCTACACTACACTACACTACACTACACTACACTACCCTACACTACACTACACTACACTACACTACACTACACTACACTACACTACACTACACTACACTACATCACACTACACTACACCACACCACAGCATACCACACTACACTCAATTACACCACACCACACTACCCTTCCCCACCTTACATTACATTACATCACATTACATTACATTACACTAGACTCATTACACCACCACAGATGCAACTGCAACTACGCTACACTAATTAGACGACACCACAACTACAACTCCACTACACTACAACTACAACTACACCTGCCTTCACAACAACCACTCTCTCCTGTAGGTTTCCTAGTTTCCTATTTTTGAAACTTCCGCCGCCGCCTTGTGCAGTACTACTGGTAAATGTTTGTTTATATTATAAATGTCTGTATATATAGTTTTGTATATTCGTGATATATCTCCAAATTTTTGTTATTGTTGGGTCCTGTTAGGCCGCCATCGCCTTCGCCGCACCCCTTTGGCCTCGCGCCGCTTCCTTCGGCACCTGGCGCCAATTCCTCCGCCTTCGTCGTGTTTGGCGCTGCGACGGCTTCTGCGCAGCAGCGCGGCGGCGGCGCGGAGCGCGGTGAGGGTCAACGGCAGAAAGGTGGGGAAGACCGGAAGATCAGTGAGGATTTTGCAAGAAATGGACGGAAATGGAAGTTTTGAATGGTATGAAACTGGCACTGGTATGAAACCAAAAAAAACATGATGACTCAGAGTTTCATGCAGATAGCGCTATTATACCTGGATAAAACAAACTGGGAGGATTTTACAACCAGCTTGTGGCGATGTTTATTTATTTTTTTATGTACTGGTAGAATCAGATGAGCAGGCACGTGGACTTGTGGTTGGTTGCTGGAGGATGCGGGTTTGGACGCCTAAATTAGGGGGATTTACCCCCACGTTGTAGCCATGGGAAAAGATGGGGGAAAATGACGATGCACTCTGGCTGGGTACTGTATCAAACCGAATGGGGATATCATGGGGATATAAGGAGATATGTAACCAAGAAATGATATTGTGTTTTTCCAAATTGTCCGAACATGGCGATTTACCCCAAGTTATGGCCATGAGAAAATAGGCAATATGATGATAAACCAAAAGAGTGCCATGAGAGGATCATCATGTGGGAAAACCCACATGAGAATGGGACCAAAATCTGGGGGGAACCTCAATTTGCTGGACAACATGTTGACCCCTTAAATGCCAATATGAAACCCTTCCGACAAAAAGAAGTTGGAGGCTCTGATTAAAGGTGGCTGGGAAATCCATGGAGGGGTGATCAAAGTGCAGAGCTGCATCAGCTGGAAGCTCCAACCCCAGATTTCACTGTTTCTGACAAAATCGTTTTGCTGGATTTTATTATTGACATTGGAAAAAACAGATCCAGGGGTTGTGAAATCAAGAGTTGGATGTGTAGGACCATCAACAGCCAATTTTGGTCGCTGAAGTGGCCCTGGAGTTCAACTGACTTCCAGGGAAGTTGTGCTGATCTCCCAGACCTGTAAGGCGAAACCAGATGTGCTGCAGAAGCTGAAACAGCAAGGGTGGCATTTAACAGCAGCACCTTTTCACCCAGACACTTGGTTTTGAGTATATCATGGCAAAGATTCAGGGGGCAAACTGAAGCTTCGACATGTTGTGTAAGCTAGAGCCCTGGCAAGTGGCAGCGCTGGTTCTAGAGATCCCACTTCGCACTCAATAGCAGACCCTCCAGAATGCTTGATGTGGTGAATCAAATCAAGGCAAGGATTTTTCGGATCAGATGTTCTTCATCATATTTGTGGATTGCGCAATTTAATAACAATAAGGAGTTTGATGCGGCTTGTAGGAGGGGATATGCCTAGGAAGCATTGATGCGCCCCCCCCCCCCGCCTTTATGGATACAGGTTGGGTAGTTCCCATCGAAGTTCTTCCGGATGCGGAGTTGTAAGGGTCCATCATTTGATTCACAGCAATGGTTTTAAGGGCTAGATCATGTTTGTATAAATCTAGGAAAACAAGATTTCATGCCGTCAAAACAATATATACATAATGTATAATGATATGTGCAATTATAAGTATATATATATATGATATTCGTATTATTCCTGTACATGTTCCCTTAAATCCAATCCATAGATTGCTGGGACTTGGGGATCTTCTACATTAGGACGCCTTTATGGTGGACTTTCCGGGATCGGCGCCAACGTTGGGCCTGACGCCAGCGCATTTGATGGGCGAGGTCTATCTGCAAGAACTGTCATCCATGCTGCCTGCGGCTGCTCCTTGGATGGCAGGCTGCGGATGAAGTTGCTTAAAACGTATGGATGAACAGGACACACACATATATATATATATTTTAATGATATTATATAAGCATCATATTATATATTGTGGTTACATTGGTATATTTTCTGGGTCTGCAGTTCCCTATAACTGAACATACTTCTTGCTTGCCTATGCGTACGAATTTACTGTGGGCTATTGCAGGGGTTTTATTTGTTCAATACGGCAACAGCAACCCTACGTCGTCGGCACAGACGCCAATGTGCACTGGCCCGACGTCAAATTTGGCTACACCAACGTGGCTACATTCGACTCAGCCCTGCGAGCATCGAGAAGATCATCCAGGTGCTATCATCACATCATTCAGTGGATCGACAGTTTGTTGCAAGAATCCGACGCAGCCTCTGCCCCAATTCTGCAGAAATGGCGGAATGGAGATGTGGATGTTGCTGGAAAGTGGCCAGTGGACGACATATCCACTGCCCACATTGTGGAGGGAGATGGGATCGAGTTCAAGATTTGACCTTCACTCCCCAGAATCGACAATCGAAGTCGCCAAGACAAGACAGAGAAGTCTATGCATCGACATGGGATTGGCAAGATCAAGGCACAGCTTCGCAAAATCGAGGACGCAGTGCGTCGGTGAAAAGTCAACCCAAACCCAGACGTCGACAGAAGAAAAAGAAGCCATCTACCTCCGAAGCAGTTCCATTTTACTCAGCACCGACCATGCCAGCTCCCTGGAAATCCGAACAGGAATCAGACAAGGGGGCAGAGAGCTCAGCGACAGCGGCAGCAATCAGTGCCGAGATGGTTCGAGACTTTCGCGAGGCCTATCCCAATCCGGCTGCAATGCCTGCCGAAGTTCGGCGGATTGTGGAAAAGTACGATGCACAGACAGGCAAAAATCTCACGGCTGCGATGCTTTCAACCTCTACTCAAATAGGGGAATCCAGGGACACATTGAGAAAGCTTCAGGATGCACGAGTGAAGCATCGCACGAGCTGGCTCAAGCATATGAAGACCCTCATGGAGACCCTTGGGAAGCAAGTGGAAGCCTACGAGAAGCAGCAAAAAGATTACGACGAACGCATCAAAAACACCAGGAAGGCTATTCAAGGAGCTCGCAGAGAACTCCAACGCCTCAACGCTCAAGCTGCCACCGATCAGAAGAAGGACATTCAGCCACCCATCGAAGAGGACGAGAACCAGGAGCAGGCGATCGATGTGGAAGAGGACGATCTCCGGACTCAGGTTCAAGACCTTTTGGGGAAATGCCTTCGCAAGACGGAAGCAGCGATCGACATCCCGAGCGAAGAGGAAGAGGCCATGGACGAGAGCACCGAGCGATTGGCAAAAAGACCTCGGTCCTTCGATCAATCCTTATCTGGTGGCAAGTGATCATTGGCTGCGGTGACCCTGTTCAATGGAAAGAGTCCCGTGTGCCAGATCTCATGAGCCTTGGAAGAGCTAGACAACAAGTTGAGGCCTACGACCTTCAGTGCGATGGTCGTGCAGCATGCTTGAGTGGAAGCTCTGAAATTCCATGGCCACATTCACGAACATACAATCACCAGCAATGCATTTTTCCATTCATGGCTATTCATGAAGCCTATGTGATGGCAATGCAAGCAGGATCAACTTTGACCTATCCAACACAGCTTTTGATCTCCTCCTCTGTCTCTTCCGTGGCAGCCACAACATCGAGAATCAGCAACAAGAAGGTAAGAGGAGTTTGTTTTTCTACGGAGATTGAGGTTTTTCTCTGCATTGAAAACAATGAGATTGAGCATGTGACGAGGAAAAACTTTTCACTTGAAGGACTCCAAGAATGGAAGACAAAGCCATGGAGACTCAAGCCAAACCAACTCACCCATGAAAAGGTATGCCATTATCCTGAACAAAGTGGGCCGTATGATTCTGCTGCATTTCATGGACGTGTATACCAACAAGACATACCTGATGCATTTGGAAATCACAACCCACTTGAGGAGCAGCCAGATTTTGTGCAGGATTTGGCACAGGCTCTACAAACAAGGGGAACTGTTGGAAACCAAGATGCAGAACAATTCTTTTACATCATGACATGGTTTTTACATGGGCAGCGTCACAGAGTTTGTCATCGACCCCGACAACTCCGCCTTGACACCAACTACATGCAGTGGGCTGAACGGATTCGAGAGATGCATGGCAAGACAGACTTCAACTGGGAGTTGAAACATTTTGCAAAATCATCAAACCAAACCCACCTGCTCAATCAGGCGAGACACACATTGCCCATGTGATCATCTATCAGGAACCTCAACAAGAAGAAAGACATGGATTGATCTCTTGCGTCTATGGAACTGGATGGGATGTTTTCATTCACCGTGTTGCGCACTGCCTTCCACAGCACATTCATCGACAACAATGTATTGTGGCCGCAGATGTTCCCAATGATCTTCTTCAACATCGAATTGAAGTTGTTTATCAAGGGCAACACATACGCAATCATCCATACCGCCCCACAGCTCTTGATGATGGTGCTTCAATTGTCGTTTATGTACTTGAACCGACACCTACGAGAGCAACTGAAAGACCTGCTACTGATGACAGCCCACAACAACAACCTGCTCAAGGCAGAACTGTCAGCCGGAGTAGATCTCCCCGACGTAGTGGTGATGAAACGTCACTATTGGCACACAGACCACAACCAATGCAACCAATGCTACGGATTAGTGAAAATTCTGATGTAGCTGAACAAGAGGGAGCTGCTGACATTATTGATGATGCTGAATCAAGTAGCAGTGTATCAGAGCCTGACATTGACATCGACTCACCCAGTTCGTCAGGACAGTCTTATGCCAGTGACATTCAGTCACACTACATGCACATGTTCCGGCTCAACAGTCCGCTGATCAGCAGAAGGATCAGAACAGACACATGGGCCCAGATGCACAGTGGCATTCGGTATGAGCTTGGCCTTTCACGACATGATGTTCAACATATCCATCCAGTGCACAATCGACCTCTGGACCTCCAAGCTGCGAACACATTGGTTGTGATTGTGCATCAACCAACTGATTTACAGCCTGGAGACACTCGGAAGCTTGTTCTCCTCGACATTGTCTTCCATGAACATCATGCAACAGAGACCAGCACGCACCGATATGCACATGCCTTACGAGGCGAAATCACCAGAAGACTGATCCTTGAAGATCTCAGACTACAAACTTTCTGTCAACGTGCCAGGAACAAGTGCATAGTGAAATTGAATGACCAAATTCTTGGACAAAACCACCATGCTCCCCTCACACTCCAACATGGCGATTACATCCGAATTGATTTATCTCCGTTGCCTGGAGTTGATATCCCGACCAGAGTTGTTGCGCGATGCTTGAGGGATGGCTTTCCTTTTCGATCTATTCGAAGGATCTATGCTGAGGATGACACTGATTTTGAATGGGCAACTGTGCAACTTTCAACAGATGCCACAGCGCTTCTTCAATTGGGCACACAACTTGGAAAGTCAAGGCGCCAAACAGCTGGAGTGGTGGCTCATGCCCAGCGGCCTTGCTTTCCAGACAAGCCCAGCACGATCCTGCTTGATCAGTGCATCCCACAAGCACCAGAGGTATTTGTTGATTTTTCCACAGTGGCATGGGCTGATACTGCGCTCCATCAAGTACCTCTGGATCTAATGGCACAACTACCAGCAGATCTTGACCTACCACAAGAGACCCTGGAAGAGCTCCAAACTTTGCAAAGCATCACTGAACACCCTGCACACAAGGTCTCATTTTATGTGGATGGATCCAAGATTCAACGTGGAGCAGTTGGAGCGGGCATTGTTTGTGTATGTGAAACACAACACCACAAGTTTTTAGCTGGATGTATGGCAAAGCGAGTTGATGGTGCGTCCCATGCGTTTGAAGGTGAACATGCGGCCATGACATGGGCACTTATTTGGGCTGTTCATATCAGCGCATGGCACTGCCATAAACATGCACACCTACCATTGACCTTCAGCTTCAACTTTGATGCCATGAACACTGGTAACCAGGCCAAGGGAACTTGGCGCACTCAGGCCCATCAACAATGGAAAAAGCTGATGCGTTCATTAGTGCACATCCTGCAGCAGCGACATTCACAACATGACCTCCTGTGGGAACATATCAAAGCCCACACCAATCATCCTTACAATGAGTTTGCTGACCGCCTTGCGAAATATGCTTCAAGATGTCCTGATGAAGTTGCAGGATGCGACAGTTGGCAACCATGGATGGATGATGACAAACAAATGACGGCTCTCCAATGGATTTGGTACTTAGAGCGTAGCCAACGCACTGACGTATGGGACATGCCCAAGTTTGAAGGGACTATCCTCTGTCATCAACTTGCTGCACCAACGAAGTGTCAGATGCCAGTGAAGTCAGTGAAATGCCAAGCTCAGCCTCAGCTACCTCAACACCTAGTTGAAGTTGAGTTCACCATCGCCACTGCGAATGTCCTCACACTTGCTGAAGGTCCTGATCGAGCGATCCCACACAGAACTCGACAGCGGCTTCTTTTTGAGCAATTTCATGAAGCACAATGCCATGTTGTATGCTTGCAAGAGACGAGGCACAAAAGAATCACTGACAGGAGCAATGATCATTATCATATCATTGGACATCAGGCAACTCCAGCAGGACAAGATGGCATCCAAATGTGGATCTCAAAGAAGCTTCCCTTTTACAAGAACGGCCCCATCATCACACCGAAGCAGATCTTTGTCATTGACTCTGACTCTACATACATGATCACCAAATTGCAGATGCCCAGATGGAGATGTATCATTGTTACTGGACGCGCCCCTCATGCCGGACGTCCTGAACATGAAGGTGAACAATTCTGGGAGATCATTGCACAGAAATTGAGTCCATATCGACACGAATGGCCTATTTTCTTTGCAGGTGACACCAATGGTCACGTTGGCAATATCGTCACAGATGCAATTGGTGAACATGGTGCGAC